TTTGCTGTGCAAACATCATACTCCATCAGTTTCGGAAGAACTGGACAAGGAATAGGAAGAATTTGCCAATTGAAGGATACAGAAGGCAGGCCAAAATCCTTTACTTATAATTCAGAACTGTGGCCATTTGAACTCTGAAATGAGAAACAGGTACTTCTGATCCATGATCACTTAACTGTGCTTACCCCAAAGAGCTAGATGTAGGGTAAATAAAACAAAACAAAACAAACCCACTTCTATTCTTGACCTCTTAATTATGCAAACTCATTTCGTAATTCTTTGGGAATTGCTTCCAAAATATTTGTGAAAAAGATAGGGCCCCTTTTAATAACCTCTAGATACCCAAGAATACAGCTTCTAAACAGTAGGTGGGCAGACTTTGTGTGCAGTGACCACTTTAATGACATGACATTCAGAATTCTTCATCTCAAAATGTCATGTTTCTTCCTGACGCATTCTTCCACCCTATCGAGTTTTAAGTTTCTGTTTGTATCAAAATAAAGAACACTTTTAATCTATCAAAATAGAAACCTATAATCCCATCCAAAGGGATGGGAATTAGCAGTTCCAATGCTCCATTTATATACATCCTCGTCTCTCTGCAAGCTTCTTTTCATGGTGAAGGATACTTGGTAGGGCAGAAGGAGATGTAGATCATGCTACATTAGCTGGGGAAAGAGCTAACGTGCATAGCATTTGAGACTGAAAAGATCTAATCTCACTTTTTCTATGCTACCTCATGTGAGTGTTGCACTTTTTGTGTTGGGAACCTTGAAATGCCAGGTCTCCAGAAGAATGCCTGACCTTGTTGAAATTTCCAGAATAGTCTGAGATACACAAGAGAAGAGTTTCTCCCATCATGACTGAAACAATTACACAGAAACTCTTAAGGCTTGTAAAAATTCTCTCCCCAACTCCTACACCTGAAGGTTTCAATACAGAAAGGCACAGTCTGATATTTGAACAGCAATTAACAAAAATGGAAAGTTAAATGTTTTTCTTGAAAAGATTTCTTCTAACGAGCTGCTGTTCCTTTTTACCCACCAGGAACAGTGTCAGACTATCCTTTGTATTTTACACTGTGTGGTGAACTTGCAAATGCTACCAGCTGATGTGGAGGAGGCCTTACTTGCTCGTGCTATTAAAGCTTTCACTAAGGCAAGTAACCATTTGTCCAAGACATCGTATTTGTTTGTTGTAAATCATGTAGGGCAAATCAACAGAGCAGTCCTCTGTGTTAAAAATTACAGTAATTCCTTCACACTTCGTGTACTCATGCTATTTCAGAGTTTATATTTTATAATAACCAGCCTACATAAAAGATAGGAAATGCTCTCAACAAAATTACATTCTGTCACTACAGCCTCAGTCCTTTAGTCTCATTTTTCTATTTCTGGCTCAAGTCCGATTCATGAACTTCTTCACTTTAGGGAAAAGATAATTTCTACGGGGTGAGATCAAGTAGGCATTGGGAGTAGCCTTTACTACTTGGACTCTTATCATCAGATTAAATTATTTTCTAAAATTACATTGCAGTTCAGCAAGTGAAATTATTTGAAAAGAAAGTTAATTGCTTCCTAATCTTTTGTAAATCTACAGACATGCCACCTGTTAAAACGATCATGACATTTCTCCTCTCCTCTGGTTAGCTTGTTTTAATGTTTAGTCAGCAAAAAATTGTAAATACTCAGTATTAAGTATGCCATAACACAACACGTATTTTCTTTGATAAATCTGAAAACTGATTTAAAAAATGTTGGTCATCTACTTTGCATTTTGCTATATGACATCTATTTAACAACTGAACTCAATTTTCTTCCTTTTATTAGACAAGCTTCGATTCTGAAGATGGACCCTATGTTTACAATACCTTGAAAAAAGTATTTAAACAAACACTGGAAGAAAAAAGAAAAAAGCTTAAGGAAGGAACAGAAAATCCCTCTTGATTTCTGCATGGCAATGCTGAAGAATTAGATGGGTCTACCAAATTATTTTGCATTTTCCAGCTACTGTATTTTGTGCTATTTGGTATGATTTACTTAACTTCAGGTGACAGTAGTTATTAACAAAACATTTTATATTTTTAGAGGGAGTTTTAGTGACAATTGTTCCATCTACATGGTTCTAAGGAACAGCTCCTGCGTGACCGTACTGTAGCATTTTGGTTTCAAGTACAATGCTTTTATTTTGTGAACTGTTCTCTTTTCTTCAGATGTATTTAATGATTTAGACTCCTCTGTCATTGGCAAGCTATGCTATTTTCAAGTTACAAGGTTGCCATAAATTCAGTGCCATGGTACATGAAGGTTTAATGGATTGAGTTTATGTATTAACATTAAATATGTTTACATTAATGTTACTTGATATTATTTTGCAGAAAAATAAATACTGGCTGAACTTACAAAACTTTTGCTTTTAGAAAATTTAGAAAATAGTGAACAGAGCTTAGGGTCTACTGTTAGCAGCAGATAATTTTTTTTTTTCTTGTAGATACCTTAAATAATTTTCACCAATGTATTTCTAAGAGGTGTTGCAGAAGAGAAATACATTAAACGTATTGAGTATGAAGTTATAAAGGTCTGAAGTTAGATTTTTTTTTTAATGGAAGATAGGCTGTGTCATCTTAAATGCTTTGAATACGAGCAAAGTTTTACCTTACTAGTTAAACTTTTATAGACCTTATTTTAAGTGGAAAAAATATGTAATCATCAAACATTAAAAAAGATATAATTCTCTCTGTACTTATATTCAGCAAAAACTTATACAGAAATGTAACAGAATAACACTCAAAAATAATCAATGAAAATCTTATCTATGGTACACTTTGTTGCAGTATTTTCATCTCATAGGACAGAACAATGGGGATATCATCATACCGAGTTTTTGATGACAGCCTTAGGATTCAGACTGGAATGTCATTTTGGAGATTAACAGTTTATCCAGTTTGATATGTTTTAGTGGTTAAATAAGAATTTGTCCATTTCCAAAATATTTTTATTTTGCCCTGTAAATGAATAATATTTAGAGTTAAAAACAGACCAGTTTTATATATTTAAATTATACCTACTTGATCTGTTAGATAGTGATACACCAAATTCAGAGCCAAACGAGTACTTTGGTAGAATCATCTTGAAGTAAGCACACTTGAAATTAAAATATCACATACGAATCACATACACGAAAGCAGCTTTGTAAAGAGCCTGTGCAACACAGCGTGTAGTTCAGCTTTAGCCAGTGTATCATAGCAGTTAGACTTGGGAAAATTGAGATGCATTTGCAGGTATCATAAATTTCCAAGGAATTATTTCAACTGTAGCAAATCCAGAGTTGAACAGTTCCAAATAGCTCGCATGCTCACAGCATAGAGACCAGCTCAGAATTGTTTAAACGGGGATAATTAAGAAGGACTGCGTATCATTAAAACTAGCTAGAATAATCTTTCTGAAGTTAATGTCAAGTGTTCACATTTGAAAAATTACCTACCGGCTGTCCATGCAGATGGATATTGCAGAACTGGGTGCTTTTTCACTTAGTACGTTTTTTGGTTCACTGACAAACGTGGTTGTAATTACCACCAAACCAACCCCTCCATCTGACTGAAGCCACCATGGAGAAAAATACAAGAACAGCCCATCTAAATGAAATAGCAAACTCACGAATAGCAGCATCCTATTAATTAATTTCTCACCTGGGTGATGTAAATGCTTAAATTGCAAACAGGCTTTTTCCACATCATTTCCTGATGCAGTAAACCTGACTCACAGATTTGTGTGACAGCCTTCCAGCTGTGGGTTATGTGTGGGCAGATTTCTCTTTGTGCTTGTCACTGCCTGGTCATGCTGACAATCCGTGACCTCATCCCACTGCAGCAAAATGGCCAGGAGCTAGTGCCAGTGTGGGACAGGAGGACCCTGAGTAGCATTTCCAGACTCCTCTGTTCTTTTGTGATCTTTTCACTCCCTTGTCCATCAGTGAACCGGCATGAGGGGACTGCAGCAATAGCAGCTTCCTCTGACCCCAAGCAATGCCACAGGCCTCCTTCCACAATGTCTGCTTGTGCTCTGCCACCTCATACGGCAGTGCACCAGGCAAAGCGGCAGCCACCTACGTCTGGTGTGTCTTATTTTACTGAAGCTACAAGGGATTCATACAGTGCAGCAGCTGCCCAAGGAGCAAACACACCCTCAGCAGCCGGAGGTAGAAAAGCCTGGGTGGGATTTTGTCCCCACACCAGGCCTAGGTTGGTTCTACGGGGAGTTCCCACGTCATCAAAGGGTGATGAAAATTTTCATTTTGGGGGTGGGGTGGGTGGAAGTGAGGGAGATGCAAGGAGGAGTTTTTTATGTACAAGTCAGCTCTAGTCTACAACTATGAGTCTGTCCCCTCAAGCATCATGTTGCTGTAATTGGTGAAATGCCCCTGAAAGCACACTGCAGAGGAAGATGTAATTGGTCCAAGTGGTTTACAGCAGCCTGGAGTAGAAGTTGCATTAACTTTAGTGCCTGAGAGGGTCTGATCCCTCCACTACCACAAATCCAATCAAAATGAAGGACTGGCTTGGTTCTGCACAACTCATCCTGCTCTGGCAGCGAGCTGGCTGTCAGCACTGCCTTCTCCACTGGCTTTGGGCAAGTCCTGGTCAGGTGAGGTTTTTTTGGCTCTTTTCTCCAGCCATATAAAGGGAAAATGGAAATACTCTGAAAAACACCATGCCAGCTGTCAACGAGGGCTGGAGTGTTCCTCTCAAAGCAATTAATCCCTGCAAGCCATCACATGGTCCTCGTTAATATGCTTTAAGTTTTGGTTAGCCCTGCAGTGGTCAGGCAGTGGACTAGATGATCTCTGAAGGTCTCTTGCAGCTGAACTACTCTACTGGTATTCTTTCAGCTACAGGCTGGTTCTAAGCGTTACATGCTAAGGCAACGTGGAACACAGACACACACCCACCATTTCTACCTATTAATTTTCCATACAGAGACAGCACTCACTTTGGATGTTAATTTCTATCAATTTTTAATTGTAAATGTTTATTCTGCATCTTGGTGAAAACAATTGAGAGTCTCCTCCTGTGAAAAATACAACGTGACCTTTTGTTCATTTTGACTCCTGGATGAAGACAAGTCTTTAACTACCAGATAAATTCCTCTTGCCACTTCTTTCACTTGGCTCCACGTGTCTCTTGAGAACAGAGTGCTGCTCTGAGGCAAATGCTTGATTTTTTCTCTCTCCACCCACACAGAATAGTGCAGGAACAAAGAGCTGAGATTTTCCTGTGGCTCTTGGATCAAAATCTATTTATTCCAGGCCTGGGTCTGTCAGCGTGTCAACTGTGCATAGCTGACTGCTGACAAAGATTTCTTCTGCATTACCCTGTGTAGTTTCGGGTGTAGATAGTTCACGCATACCTAGCTACTTTATAAAACATTTTGAGAAGGGAAAGGGATCTTAAGTCTCTGATGGCCAGTGACTTCACGATGCAGTATTTGCTTCATTCTTGTGCTTTCAGGTTGCTGGACAATCAGTAAAAGGCCATCTAGAAACAACAAATTGAGATTTATTGCTGTTCCTCCTTTTCCCTCTCCTGCCATACTGCACAGAGCCGAAGAAAAGCAATGGGCACTGACAGCTGCTCCCACACGAGCACAATGTGTGGCACATTCTCACTAAAATCAGTAGTAGAGGTTAAAATGAATTCCCTTTGTTTCAGTGACATGGCATAAGAGGTTTCAGTGGCACTACCTGGTCTGCTTTGCACATCTATTTTCTACAGATGACCGTGCAGTCAAATTACTTTTGATTTATGACGTATGATAGGGTAGCAGCTTACTAATAATAATAATTTAAAAAAAAGAAAAGGAAGGACATGCTTTCAACAAAGTAACTTAGCAAGAGATGATTCCCATGTTTGCCAAATTAAAAGTTGCTCTCCAGACAGGAGGCTGGAGATCCGATGGAGATCAGAAGTCCTACAGGACCAATTCTGAGAGGTTTGTTTCCAGCCCGATCAATATTCCCTTTTAAACAATTGCAGAATTTTAGAAAGCAAAGCAAGCTCCCTGCTTCAAGCTTCGTACTCTTTAGAGTGAGTACCTGTAAAGGGCCATTCCTCATTAATGGCATGGAGATGTGTCCGGGAGGTTCAGACCGGGTGTTAGGAAAAGGTTCTTCACTGGTGGCTGGGCACTGGCACGGGCTCCCCAGGCAAGTCATGGCCGTCGAGCCTGCCAGAGTTCAAGAAATGCTTGGACAATGCTCTCAGACACGTGGTCTGATTTTGGGGTGGTCCTGTGCGGAACCAGGAGTTGGACTCCATGATTCTTGTGGATATTCTATGATTCTGTCAGCCAACACAAGAGATACTAAAATATGAAAGTATTTTAAAAAGAACCTGACATTCAGAAGGAGACATGTGAGACACTACCTGGATATTTGAAGCTGAAAACTGAGGTAGAAGTCAAGATCCAAAAGTAGCACACAGGCTGGGAAGGAATTCCATGGAACAGGTTACTGCTTTACCTGTGAACCAGAAAAACAAAAATCAGGCCGAGTTTTTCTGAGCCTCTACATCTACCAGTGAGATTTGAAATTCACTGTGCCAGCAGTTTTGCATCTAAGAAGGCAGAAGAGAGACGCAATATTGTAGAGGTCTTTATCTGTGCAGCTATGACTTAGAAGCATGAGCAAACGTATCACCACAACCCTTTGTGACAGCTCCGCACTGCCCAACAGAACAGCCTGTGCTGGAAACGCCACACAGACACAGCAGCAAGTGCCTCCTGCTAAAACCCTGCAGCGAACCTGGGACAGTCTGGTGGCAGGGGGGAAAGTGCTAAATGCTGCCAAGTGTCAGTGCTTCATGCTAGCACAACACAACACCTGGGGAGCTGCTAGCATCCTGAGCCTGGCCGAGTACAGGGGAGTCTCAGTGCCAAGAGGGGTGCGAGGCCACCCCGCTGTCGCAGGCATTTCGGTTTGTGGAATTTCTGCACTGCTGCCTCGGACAAGTTTTGATTCCCACTTTGTTTTTCCTAGATCTTTATTACAAGATCTCAGCATATCCTCTGAACTGTCACAGCAGAATTAGTGAGAGCTTTAGATTAAACAGTTAATCTTCATGACTGCTGAGAGGTCCTGAGTCAGCTGCTGAATCCTCTGCATCACCTGGCCGTGGCCAGCAGCGTCCCTCCCCCAGGGTCAGGGAGCAAAGCCATGCACCTGCACACAAACATTTCATGTGCCCTACCGCCAAGGACAGTAAGGAAACAGACCACTCCTGGGTTTCACTTGTGTCTGGAGGCCTTTGTTCAAAGAAGCTTGTCCCTCCACCAGCATTTCCTCACCAGCCTCACCTTTGGTGACAAAAAAAGAAGAAAAATAGGATCTCATAAGGGAGAAACCTGTCCCTATTGCTTCACCTTCTGCTGTCCAAGGTCTCACCTACCACGGTCCTGACAAGGCTTCAATCTCATCATTACCTTCAGTGAAGCTTTTGTTTCAGCTGATAGAGGTGACACTGTCAGGGCAGCTACAGCCACGGGACAGCAGGCAGCCTGGAGGTGCTCCATCTCCTACAGCACCCGGGCTGGCAACCTGTGAGACAGCAGGAAAAGAACAACCCTCTTCCAGTGGCTCCTGGAGGGGAGTGGATAGGGACCCATGTATTACAAACAGTGGAATAAACAGACTTATTCATGGGACACAATAAAACAACCTATTTTTTCCTCCCCTACTTTAATTAAACTCACAGCTTCTATGCTCCCTCTGCCGGTTATGGACACGTGCCAGCTGCAGTACACTGCTGAATTATAAACCCCAGTTTCCAATACAGCCTAAGGCTTGGGACTAATCTTTAGAACACCTTAGGTTCCTACACCTACTCAGCTATTTTACAGTTATACTTTCAGTAATAAATGTTGAGTCAAATTATCTGTATACAGACACACACAAAAAAGAAAAATCTAACGCCCATACCCATTTTGCAAGGGATCTATTCAGTTCCAGATAGGCTCAAGAAAATGTGTAGATACAGTTCAGTTCACCCTTTAAACTGACTCAAAATGGCACCCAGTCTAAAAACAATCAGCAACAAAAAACCCCACACCAAACCAACCAACCAAAAACAAAACAAAACAAAAAAACAGACAGGCAAACCCAAATCCCCAAACAAACACACACAAAAAGAGAAAAGAATATGAACATCATTGACACAATCCCATCCTGTCCATCCTGACTATCTACCCTAGTGTGCACTAAAATGGCCACACTTCTCAGCAAAATTACCACTAGTCCATTTTCCTCCCCTGCTTCAATAACACCAGTACTGGCTTTTAAGAAAACACTGGACCATTTATGAGGAGATCAGAGACCTCACATGTCTCTGCACCCTTGTACTAACCAACTGGTAGAAGCCTTGATGTAAAAAGCCACACCAACCTACTTTGTCTGCCAGCCAGAACTTGGAAAACTCCTTTGAGATACCCTACATACCACAAAGCCAACACACAGAGTACTGCCCTGGGGTCTCAAAGCATCTTTGCTCAACTTGTGCTTGTGTACTGGAAGACACACTGTGATTATACCCACCCCAGTGGACAGGCAGAGGAGGATACCCACATATTAGCACAATATGGCTTTTGACAGTGCTGATAACTGTTTATTGTGGCATTTATTGCATGCCATAATATTGCACTAGTGATTTAATATTTTTTCTAAGAGAATGACACAACTGTACTAATTAGATTTGAATGTAAGGCAAGCTGCCCTTCTGCAGCCAACAGAAACTTCCAAATAGATTTAGGATGCCTCACTGATAATAACTTTATCAGTGGTACAAGTGACCATGCCTTGCAGAGGGATCTGGATAGGTTGGAGAGCTGGGCGATCACCAACCACATGAAGTTCAATAAGAGCAAGTGCCGGGTCCTGCACCTGGGATGGGGAAACCCTGGCTGCACATACAGACTGGGCGATGAGATGCTGGAGAGCAGCCTAGAAGAGAGGGATCTGGGGGTCGTGGTAGACAGCAAGTTCAATATGAGCCGGCAGTGTGCCCTGGCAGCCAGGAGGGCCAACCGTGTCCTGGGGTGCATCAAGCACGGCATCGCTAGTAGGTCAAGGGAGGTGATTGTCCCGCTCTACTCTGCGCTGGTGCGGCCTCACCTCGAGTACTGTGTGCAGTTCTGGGCACCACAGTATAAAAAGGACATGAAACTGTTGGAGAGTGTCCAGAGGAGGGCTACGAAGATGGTGAAAGGCCTGGAGGGGAAGACGTACGAGGAACAGCTGAGGGCACTGGGCCTGTTCAGCCTGGAGAAGAGGAGGCTGAGGGGAGACCTCATCGCAGTCTACAACTTCCTCGTAAGGGGGTGTCGAGAGGCAGGAGACCTTTTCTCTATTAACACCAGCGACAGGACCCGCGGGAACGGGGTTAAGCTGAGGCAGGGGAAGTTTAGGCTTGACATCAGGAGGGGGTTCTTCACAGAGAGAGTGGTTGCACACTGGAACAGGCTCCCCAGGGAAGTGGTCACTGCACCGAGCCTGTCTGAATTTAAGAAGCGATTGGACTGTGCGCTTAGTCACATGGTCTGAACTTTTGGTTAGGCCTGTGCGGTGTCAAGAGTTGGACTTGATGATCCTTAAGGGTCCCTTCCAACTCAGGATATTCTATGATTCTATGATTCTATGGAATTATGGTTGAGTTCTGAGAAAGAGTTACCTGAGCTCAAGAAGATTCTTCTAGCTCTTCAGGTAGATCTATTCTCAATCCTTATATACTTTTAAAGATTAAACGTACACTGAGTTACTCAAAAAGTAAGTGTTCTGTGTTGCAGGCGAAGTGCGTGGTTACGGGAAGGGCTTCTGTGTAGGCCTGCAGGTAAAGGCCTCTTTTTCAAAAGTTACCTCAACCGTGGGCAGCATAAGGGATGGGTCTAAATAGCCTGACTCCAAAGTCTCCAAAGGAAAAATCCACTCAGACAGCAAATAATTGGTGTTAAAAATTCCATTGCCAAGAAAGGTTTCACGTCTCAGAAATTAGTAGGTGGTAAGCTATTAAAAATGAGTGGATGTTAAAATACTACTCATCTGTGACAGCCATACCTATGTATGTATGTCTTGAAAGGCACAGTTTCCATTTAAGTACTCCAATGAACATTCGGTCATAGCATGTAATTTTTTTCCCCAAAGTTTTACTTAGTTTGCCAAAAAATTACCTTTTATACATCCATTAAGGAGGATATGACCTCAATAGCTATCTTTTTTAATTACATCTGATTTCCATCCTATTGGACAAGTGAAAAATGACCTGGTTCCATGGAAATGCTAGTCATGTCCAAAACTCAGCTCATATTTGTGATTCCCTCTATGTACCAGAGAAGGAAACATCATCCAGCTCTTCGCCTTGGCACGCTGCCACCAGGTGTGCTTCAGCACCACATTTTGGTCTGGGTTTACACAGTGAAGGACACGACACAAATGCTGTGGCTATCAGGTTAGCTCCATAAACCAGCAGCAGCGTGGGACTGTTACCTGCCCTACCTGATCTATCCAAGCGATCTGACCTCTGTGCTATTGTAAGGGTTAGCCAATGTCAGCCAGGAATTAGTAAGTTGTATCCTGGTACTTCCATCAGTGAGTTTCCTTACATTGCAATGAATTGTACCAGTTTCAATGATAGTTCGCATGCAGGCAGTGAATGGCTTCCAAAGACTGAAATGGTAAAGACAATGAATGAAAAAATGCCATCGTTTGAAACAGAAAACTGGCTCTGAGTCAGCTCTAACACATCAAACACCAAACAGTGAATATATCTCCTTGAATCCTGGTTGCATTGCAGCCCCACTACACACTGAGAAAAGGGCTCTACTGACAGAAAAACTTATTCCACACTAATTTAGAGTACAGAAAATTCAAAGAGAATGTCCTACATAATAACATGAAGGAAAAAAACGCTCAGTGTTGGCAGTAACACTGGCTGACTGCAGTAGATGATGCAAAGAACACTGTACTTCCCACACAAGGTTTCCACACGCTCCTATTGATACTTCCCCTCACATGCCTATTTTTATACCTGCACAGCCCGTCTCCGTTACAGAGCACACCTCCCTAGAGCATCCTCTGCTCGTCTGCACCACGCAATACAGGGACACAAAGATTATGGAAAAGGAGAAGGCCTAGAGATGAGAGCAGCAACAGGCTGCTGTTGGAAAACAGGGATTACAAATTATTTGCAAAATGCACCAGTGACTGGAAAGCTCTGATGAGGTTACAACCAGACGGGACGTTCAAGCAGGCATTTTGTCTTCAATTCCTAGCATGGTGCCTCACCTTTTATTCCCCTTGGTTTCTCTGGGAAAGGTTTGAATGAGAAAGATGGGGGAAAATAACTCTCCTTAACTACTGCACTGAGGTTTTGTGGCTGCAGTCCTAATTTCTATGTAATTCACATGGGTTTGCTACATATAAATGTATGTATGTCACAGACTTCAATGCCAAATCTTCACTCCTGTGTAGGACGACTGTCCAAAGTAAGCAAAGCCAGCTCTGCCCCAGAGTTTCAATCAGGCCCACAGATAACTGTGGGTTGGGCTAGAGATGACAAAAGATCAAACACAATTCCTTTAACAATCAGGTATTAACATCCCAAAGAAGCTATGTCCGATCAGTGTGCGTGCACACAGGCACTCTACCCACCTGTTTATGGCTATACCTCTTCGTTTACCTTGATTTTTTTTAGTCATTAAACTATTAATTCTAATTTCCTAGATATTGTGCAGCATATGACATTACAGTAAATGAGAAATGTCTTATGTGATTTCTACATCCATCTGAAAGCGGTGAGACTAGTGTCTTGATAAATATGCTGCTCCTACTGACGCCTGGGGTTATGCCTGTTGGAGACTTAACACCGGGCACTGAATCCATTAATGAATTTCAGTATCTGCCAGTAAATCCCCAGGAACCAGTTACTGGAATGTTCCTCACCCAGATGCCATGTTAGCTTTCAGTGTCATGCAGGATTCCATTCTCTAAAACACGTTTTAAAGAGGTTAGTGATAAAAAAGAAATGTTGCTAACCAGGTGTAGGCTGACTTTCTGAAGAAGCTTTCAGCACAAGGTAATGAAAATGTGAATTGCAGTGACTGAACAGAAGACACAATTCTACATGAAAACACACAGGCAATAAAATAATTGACCACCCCAAGGAACTTGTCTTGCACTGAGATTCAAAACTCTTAATCGGAGCAACAGACGCCGGCCTGTTTCAACACCTCTGCGTGTTAAACACCCGAGAGAGTGCTTACATCCAGACCAAGGTGTTCCTACAGGAAGGAGCACATCCTGGTGAAACAGAGTGACTTTGCGCACGGGCTCGGTGAGATCAGAGATGCAGAAGATCCAATTAAACTGTCAGCATGTCAAAGAAGGGAGCTGCTGCTGCCATGGAGATGTTACTACAGAGACTGGGGCTGGTTCTAGAATGCCAGTACCAGGCTGCCAGCAAAGAGGGGCTGCGGCAGCAGCCAGGAAAGGTCCTCCTCATGTGGTGAAACACCATCATGGAAGCCTTAAGAGAGGCGCTCTTGTGCCCC